GACATGCAGCTTATTTATCTGTAACCTCTGAATCGGTTGTGGCTGTCAACTGTCCACGTCAGTGTCTGGACAGTGGTGGGCTGGATGAGGCAGCAACATGCTTCTTGCTGGGATTTTTGTCTACCTACCTTTCTGTGCAATTTAGTTTACACGTAATGTTGCACTCCCCTCTTTCCCCCACCTCTTGCATGCTCCAATTCCCTTCCTAACCTCCCTTTGGTTTGCCACTAAATGCAAACAAGGCAAATTGTGGTTTGCACAAATCACAGGTTGCTTGGTTCAGGTGCAACACAAACTATGTTTCCCCACCCACCCCTGCCACCGCGAAACAAGGAAATTGGAGAATGTGAAGGGAGGAGAGAGCAGGAAAAGGAAGCAAGCAAGCCTAGATCTGATTCTATGAAACCTGAAACTCAAAAGGCTTGTATTAAGAGCCTCTTTCCTACAGAAAGACCACCACTCAAGAACCATCATTTCTGACAACTGGAAACTTCATCCAGAACACTGCTACCTTCTGTTTTTGGCCTCTAAGAAAGCCTGCCATCCCTTCACCAGAGCTTTCCAGCTTTCAAATTCTTCTCCAGGGGAACCTGAGTTCTAAGTGAGTAAGATTCCCTGACATGTATCACTTACAAACTCAGGAGAGGTATGTTTTAGGACACAGGCTCTGTTCGTAGGGGGCAATGGTGAGGCCTGGCAAGTCTGACCAGTGACTGAGTATGCATCCTATAATACAGCCCCGAATCAAGGCACAGGTCTTCCATGATACATGTGCAGCACCCCTCAACACAGGAGAGACTGTAAGCAGGATTTCTCTGACAGTAGAAACTTTGAAACCCACTGTGCTAAAGAAAACAATCAATACTCTGGATTGCTGCCTACCTCCCTGATTTCTTTGATTTTGGACCCTCCTTTGCCTATAAGGGATCCACATTGGCTTGCAGGAACTACAAGTCGCAGCGTTACAGGAGGCTTGCTTGTTACCGTGCTGTTTGTCATCGAAGCATTGATATCCTGAAATGACAATGTCAAGAAGAATTAGGCGAGGATTTATTAGTCCGCTGGACCCTTGAGAGGAACAGTTGAAGTACTTAGAGAAAGAATAAATACGAAGAAGTGTGATTTCACTGCATATATTGTACACTGCACTTATAGACGTTGAGGCACAATCCTGCTGATATTTTTCTTCTGCAGGATTCATTGAAACAGATACCTGTCTGTGCCTTGCACGACTACCATTTGTTTCAGCGGGGTTTACACAAGGCAAAGTTACTTGTTAGTTTTGCCTCAACAGTGTCCAGTGGAAGGATTTTAGTTGTCCTTAAACAGCCAACAGGTAGTGATCATCCATAAACATTTTACACTTTCAATGTGCAGGAAAAAAATGCTGAGAAAGCATTGTCAGTGAGCAGTGTACCAGTGATGTTAGATAGAAGTCTACTGAATTTTTTATTTCTAATTTTCACATTGGTCACCAAATATTTTTGTGCACACAGTTTTTCATTTTGTAGCATGCAAATAGATGGATCCAGTTCCATATCATATTTTGCTAGAGAGAGCTGTATGGGATTAGTGAGCCAGGAAAACGGGGCAATGTTCCTGCCCTTCATTACTGTCTGTGTAATGCATATCTAGCTTAGTGGAAAAAGAAAGTCTAAAAGCAACAGAAGTGCATAACAGAAAAAAACCATGCTAATGATTGGGGTGCTGAGAATTATTAGAACAAAAATATCCTATCTTAAAAAGGTACTTAAGGAATAGTAGGAATATTAAGCTTAGTTCCACACTACCTGTTCATGAAATATTATATTTTCATGGGTGCTATCACATGCTTGAATCCCCACGACGGGGTGAGCTCCCGTTCCTCGGTCCCTGCTCCTGCCAACCTAGCAGTTCGAAAGCACGAAGTAGATAAATAGGTACAGCTCCAGCGGGAAGGTAAACGGCGTTTCCATGCGCTGCTCTGGTTCGCCAGAAACAGCTTAGTCATGACCGGGAAGCTGTATGCCGGCTCCCTTGGCCAATAAAGCAAGATGAGCGCCGCAACCCCAGAGTCATCTGCGATTGGACCTAATGGTCAGGGGTCCCTTTACCCTTTATCACAAGGGCAGCTCACTCCACATTGGACTGGCACGGAGGGCAGGGCTCTTTGGGGGTGGGCCTGGGGAAACAACCAGGCTTCCCTCAGGTCTGCTCCCAGGGGATTTAAACAGCCTGCGTTGGTCCCTGACACCCAGCTGTTCATCAGATCAACCTCCCCACCCATTCCATTAATCTTGAATTTATCCCTACTGAAATGGCCTCCAGAAATAGGGTATCCTGTCAAAGGGATCCGTGATGTGACAAGCAGGAAGTCTGCTTGCTCCTCACCCAAAGAGGGTCCTTACACATTTAAGTGCTCTGGACAATGATGGGGTTGCTGGACAATGATGGGGTTCCACAGCTAGCCACCAACACCTGGTGACTGGAGAGCAGTCCCAACCCAGTGAACTCCCTATCCTTATGTCACAGAGTTTGGTCCCAAGGGATCATGCCCTTCAGTCTTCATGGGTCTTCGCCTTAGATTGCTTCTGCCTGGCTCAGTCTGCTCCATCTTCATGTGACCTCCACAAGGACAGATTGTTCCAACCCCAGCAAACTCTGCTACCCTGGTCCATTGCCTCTCCTTTGTTTTCTTTGGGTAAGCCAGGAACAAAGCTTTGTGTTTGCCCTTAAAATAAATGTTCACACCTTTCTGTATCATGAATTCCAAGATGTCATGGGCCACAGGCTTTGACCACTTTCTCTGCATTAACCATTAATCTCTGTTGGACAGGATTAAGTCCAGATCCCCTTGTCCATTTTTTTACCTTTTGAGGTGAAAGCTTGTTTACAGCGTTCAGAAAATAATTAATGAGAAAAAGTTGGTTTTGGCTGTGCACAAACTCCTGTTTACATGGTATCCAGTTTGTACACATGTCATTAGCCACAATCCTATCTATCTTTTATCTTGCATCTATTCTGTCATTTTTAAAAATGAAATAACCCATCTTGATGCAAAACAGATTAGTTTGAAATGAGAAAAAGAATGACCAAGCTGCATTTTAAACTCTACACGGCTGAAGCTATTGCCAACACTCTCACATCTGATGAAGTCTCTCTCATCTCCACATGCAGCCATGTGAGTGAGGAAAAACAAAAAGGACAAAAATTAGGCTGGATGTTGTAACTGTGTCAGCTTGGAGATTCAGTTTCTAGATGGAGATTGTTGGCTGAATAGGTCTCTGCTACGTGCAGTAGGTATCAGGTTGCAATCCTAGGATTCTGGGATAAGAAGCAGTGGCCTTCATATATATTTTTTTAAATGATATTTATTGAAGAATTTTTTTAGAATTACAAAAAAAAGACAAAACAGAAAAAAGAAAGAAAAAATGAATCCAACATTCTCAAATTCTCAACTTTCATTACCTTCTTTCTTTGACCTCCTCCTCCTCCCTTTTCTTGTATCCTAATTAATAATCATCGCAGCAAATCCTTTCCATAATTCATAATATTCTGTCATTACATTACCTTAATCTATTTTCATCTTATCTTATAAAAAACCTTAAACCTTAAAGCTTAAATCTTATTTTTACCAACTTCTCATAACCATAATATTCTTACCTAATTCTTTAAACATTTTTGCTAGAGCCAAGTAATTTCATTTCAACATTTTTCTAACATTCATCAATTTTATAAAACAATCCTAACGATAGAAAAAGAAATAAGAACAATCCAATCTTCATCCAGCGTCCCTTCCTCCTGGTCCCGGGTTTTGTCAGTCCTTTTTATCCCGTTGATCTAGCGCATTAACCTGGTAACCTTATATCCGAGGCCCTCAAGTCTCTTCCATGTCCCTTCCGCGGCTCTTCTTCATATTTTCCTTTCACTCGTGGGAACTCCAGCTTGGTAATGTTTTTGACCCTTTTCAACAAATCAGCCCCTTTTCCATAGTCCGGACTAAACTCCATGTGATATTTAAGAACATGTTTCAGATTCCCTCCAAAATTGAGAGCCCCCACAGCTCCAAACATCTGACGGCCCATTGCCGGACTCGGAAAGTCCAAACATCCCTGCATGGGGGGGTCAATCCAACCCCCCATTTCCAAACCAATCCAAACTTTATATTTCCAAATCTGGTTTTTTCCAAGATCATTTGTCAAATCCAAAGGCTCATGTTCCTGCAGGGCCGCAGCTCCCTCCATCTCCGGCGCCCAAGATTCAGCAGCGTCCTCTTCTCTCATCTGTTCTGTCAGGGCACACTCCTGTTTTAGTTCCTGGGTGGGCTCCATATAGTTTCCCACTACCTGTTCAAAAGTTCTGGCCGCATTAGTCATCAAGTCCGTCTTCTGATTTAACTGGTCCAGTAGGGCATTTATTTTACAGAGAGCACACAACAGAGCTTCTGAAAACATTGTCCTGCAAGGTCACAAGTCCTTTCCCACGATTGTAATCTGTAACAGCTGCAAGCTCCCTGGAATTAGTTACAGTTTCACAGTCTCCCTCTAGGGGGAAAACTTCTGTTTGTTCTTTCTTTTTAAAGACAATAGCAACAAAGTTTCTTTTTAGAGATATTTTGTCAATATTTGTTCCTTTAAAATGCGAAAGGAAACAGTGGAATCACTATATTACACTTCTTTTAACTGTCTGTCACAAGCATTTGTCTCTGGTCAATGAGCTTCAAATGTCAGTCCTGACACCCCGCTACAGGATCAGGACGGAGGAAAGTTACTTTACTTTGAACTCACTTCTGCAGGTTTAAACAGTCCAAAAAAAAGATCCCCCTTCTTCTCCTGCTACCGAAGGGGGGCTCAACAATTTTAAATGATGAAAGCCAATCCTTTAGAAGTAATTTTCTAAGCTCTAGTTTACGTTGTCTTTGCTTTATTCTGTCTACAGAGAAAAGGAAGGCTGACTTCCTGTTTAGACCTTCCCGTTTCAGTACCAAATTAGATTAAATTTTTAAGTCCAATTCCTTTCTGCTCGCCAGTCCTTGTTTATAGTCCGATTGTTCAAAGTTTATGTACTCACGGGTGATTATTTTAGATGCCAAATTGTCCCAGGAAAAAGGCAGCGCTCTCCGGCAACGGCTATGCGGCTTCGCTCCACAGAAAAAGCGGTTGACTCGCAGCACCGCGCCACTTCCCCCTCTTCACTTCGGAGCCCGTTAATGGGTTCCTTTGCGGGTTGGGGGGGGGGCGCTAAGGGTGCCCGCCAAGTCCCATGGTCACAGGCTTCATCCGCCTGTGATTTCTAAAAGGGTCCCCGCTTCGCCGTAGCGGAAAAGACCCGTTTCACACGGAGCTGGTCCCTCCAGTTCAGAGGGAGTCCGCCATTGCCGATGGCGCCACCCCGGAAGTCCAGAAGCAGTGGCCTTCATTAGCCTTATCAAAACTTTTCCTTCTCCAGGATTTCCTTATTTGCTCCTCCTGAGAAGTTACCTCCACCTGCCC